TAGCGATTCGGGGACGCCATGGGGGAAGCCAAAGTAGTGATGATGAAGGCCCTAACAACAACAACAACCGAAATCAGAGCAGTGTCTTGCTGTCACACGAGCAAGTATTTTCGAACGAAAAAATAGAAACCTTTGTATGTTTACAGAATGTTAAAGAGATAAAGATAAATGGGAGGTTCGCCCTAACTCTGAGTGATTTTGAAAACCTGTTCAATATCTGAACCTGAAAAAGGAATTACTCTTCGCATAAAAATCTGTTTGTACCTTGCCTCTGTCAGATCCGTGTTGTTGTATGGCATGGAAACAGTTGTTCTAAAGAAGAAACAGCAACGAAGGTTCACTGCGTGCAGCAGCGTTGGCTTCGACCCATAAAGAGAGTCAAATGGCATGGCCACGTTCAAAACGACTATATTCTCTTCTATGCGTAAGCGACCATTTTAGATGGGAAGATCAAGAAAAGATGATTAGCAGTGTTAGACAAACTGGTTGAGCATAAGCCATTTGCTTCAGCCCATGAACTTGTCGAGCTGGAGCCGAAACAAGAGGCCAGCATGCAACATGGAGGAAGAAGGCAGAGGTAGATCTATTTTCGCAGAGGAAGAATGTTTCCTTCCACGATACAGCAACTGGTGACTTATAGCAAAAGTGCTGAAAAGTTGCGGAAACATCGGACATTACAAACGAGAGACGTTCTGGTCATGAATGACTCAAGGTGATCATCTCAACAAGCACAAAATTACACAGCCGGTTCAGACATCACCTTAGCCTCAGCTCCATCATAAGGCGAAATTTGGATATCGAACAAAGGTGACCGATCTGCATTCAAGGTATGGCGGAGCCACTACCAGCGAACAGACAGAGCCACCTTGCAAAGCAGATACTCAACACATAACGTGAAGTCTGGTTACTGCCAAGAAGACATCTGACAAAAAAGCAAGATTTCGTACGAAACCATACGATGTCGAAAGGGCTGACAAGTGAGCACGCATTAATTCATCCAGGGGGAATCAGCAGCGGGTTGATTTCGATTTTTTCTGACGGGTAGAACAAAGCCTTAGTGCTGCTTGCACAATGTATCTAGTTTGGTCAGCCTTAAGCCTTTGTATCCTCAGATTAATTCTTTGATGACTACAACGCCAGATGATCGGTTCGGCTAGGATATTTCGTCCAGGTACCCATCGGTTAGTCTTCTACACGACGCCTA